AGAATAAATAAGTCGAACACCCTCTTTTGTTTTCACACGGTGAGGGTACAGATGTCTGTGTGTATAGAGGCTGGTGTGTGTTTTCAAGCAGCTCAGATACAATTTGCTTACTTCCATTACTTTTTTCTGTACTTATGTTGAAATGCTGCATCCTGATTATTTAACCAGAGTTTGAATACTGAAATCTAAGAATTAAATATGATTGGAATTAAAACTCCCTTTTATAGTTAGGAAACTTGGATAAATTGTCTTGTCCATTTTTAGGTAGCTTAATTAATATCGGTAAACAGCACACTTTTACAGTACCCATTTAAAAGGAGCTATTTGATTTATTTTAATATTTTAATCTCTTCAAATGACCAACACTATAAGAATGTAGTTGGCATCTTGCTGTCTTGTAATGTCATGTTTGAAGAATGGAATAGAAAGGGAAATGAGGAAGTAATACTTTAAGGCTTTAAAAGGAAGAAAGAAAATATAACTGGTGTTCTTTTCCCCCAGGGAATGCAATTTACCATGATTTAAAGCAGAATCAAAAGACAATCATCTTTTGGCAATAAGTTTAATATGTGCAATAAAACAAAAACTATCAATCCCGAATAAAATAGAAAAATGTTTCCACTGAGGGGGTCCCATAAAACTGTGGAACATCCTGAGATACAGAACATCTCTTGGATATAAAACAGAGCTATTTTTAATGGTTTAGGGAGGAAAACATATTTTTCTTCCAAGTGGGAGGAGGGTTTCAGAGATGGCAAAACCGGGGCCTCTAGGTTTTCTCCAGCTCACATGCAAAACTTAAAAAGACCACAAACCAGAAGACCACTAAAGCCAGGGGCTTGTTTATCAGAGCCGGCTGAGCGGCTTGCGTGTGCCCTGGGTCTGCAGCCATCTGCAGCACCTTGGAACTCAGGGCCCACCTCTGGAGGCCTCCGAGGGCCCATCTCCTTGGCTCGACCACAGGCAGAGAGAGAAAGCAGACATGCTCCCCTGCCAACTTGGGATTTGAATAAGTAATGAAACCAAACACCCGATGATGCCCCAGATTCGCGCTCGTGGTCTTCAGGAAGCACCACCTGCTCTGAAGCCGCTGGGAGCGGGCGCTAGTGCCCCCCCGCCAGTGCCCACCTCCTAGCTGGCCAGGCTGGGCCTTGCGGAGGCACTGTGACCCCAGATGGTGACAGTGGCCGGAGTAGGGTGGGGAAGACCCTCAGCCTTCCCAAACCGTAGATTCCTAAAGCAAATAGACGAGGGGGTTCCCATGCATCACGGCTGAGGCCAACAAGGGTGTTTCCAAGGGGGATTGTCACACAGCACACGTCAAAGGACAACCCACTCCGGGACCTTAGAGCTCACGTTTCCGGGGGTAACCGTTGGAGGTGTGGGGCAAAGACAGAACGCATCTCTTTCCCCAGAGCAGGGCAGAGACGCCGATGCAGGACCCATCTTGCACGCTGCCCGCCCGTGGACCCCAGCGAAGCCCTGGGTCCCCGCAGAGCCCTGCACGCCTGGTGCACTGCAGTGTCTGCACAGGAGGACAGGGGCCCACTCAGCGGATAAACTGTTTATGTGAAATAAACAATGAGACAACGGAGAGCCCTCTGTGCTCTCCTGATGGAAAAGATAAACAGAGTCCGCCTGCCCATGCCACGCCCCACGGGCCATCATGGGGGCCCCTCCTGCTGGGTGAGCAAGCCGACGGGTGGAGGGGAACCTCCTTTACTCAAAGTCACCCATCTAAACGTCGCTCTCTTCTACAAATTGCCTTCACGGGAACGTCTGTGCTTGACCGAGAGACTGGGGGCCGTGGCTCGGCCGGTGGACGCGCAGTCGGGACCTGCTGGATGGGTTATTGACCCAGCTCATGAAGAGCTAGCGAGCCGGGGAAACGGGCTGCATGGGAGCCTCCGTCCCGAGTCTAGAAGGGATAGCTCCCTGGAATGCGGCCCCTCCACTCCCTGAAGGGCTGAGGGAGGAGCCCCCCGCCCTGCCCTGGGGACCTGCGGGTGTGGACTGCACGCTCGGGCTGTGTGCTGGGTCCCGTCACAAGGGCAGAGCTAAGCGTGCAAAACGAGCCCGGAGCAGACGGGAGGAGTGATGCTGAGCATGCGCACAGAGGGAGGGCATCGGGGGGCGCGCGCAGGGGGCCGAGACGAGGCCGTCTGCGCGCCAGGAGCTGGGGCCCCAGCAGACCCAGCAGTGACCGAGAGTTGAGAATATTTGAAAAACAAAGTGCGCCTTCCCAGGAGCAGGGATAGGAAATAAGAATGTAGGTAAGACAGTGCGCGGTTTGCTCGGGTAACAGTCTGAGGTCTGAGGACGAGGGCCAGGAAGAAGGGTCTTCGGGGAAATGAGAAAGGGGACGAGCGGCGGGGTCAGGCTGGAAGACACAAGAGGGTCCGTCCGCATCGCTCGTCCGCAGCCACCGTGGGAAACGCCCTTGTGTCCCCACTCCTCCAGCTTTCTCTGCCCCGTCCCCTCAATGTGAAGAAGGATTCGAACTGAAGGTTTAACGGCTGACAATGGCTGTAGGCAGCACAGGTGCATTTTAACAGGGGTCCGGCTGTGTCACCAGGTGAGCACAGACAGCGATGCCAGGCGCCCCCATGTCTCAGTGGGGTAGAGGAGGTGTCCGCTCTCTGAAGGACAGTGGTGAGGATCACGGCCGGGGTCGGGTGGTCAGGTGGCATTGCAGTTCCCATCCTCAGAGACCCTGCCCATGCCGTCTGGGCTTGGCTGTAACTGCCTTCTCCTCCTCTGAGATTCGGGGATGGGAAGTGCAGCAGCCCCACTGGCTTGCTGTGTCGGCGGAGCAGGACAGAGGGGCAACGAGGCATGTGAGGTACCAGCACATCGTAAGCACGAGAAACGTTAGCCGCTCTTACTACTATCACTGTTGTTCCAACTAACAAAGAAAGTGCATTCTTTAGTATTCTAGATTGGTTTAAAGGAAATCAGGCAGAAATCTAGAAGGTATTTAACATACCGCAGGGCAAGAGTAACAGTTTAATAAACAGAGATATAAATTAATTTGATATAATTAAACTGTCACAAAACCTCTTATCTGGTAAAATCTCGTAATCAATTTTTATAACTTCTATAAATGGAATGATAAAGTTGAATATAATAAGATGATTCAAGTACATAAAGAAACAGACACTGTCAATTATATATTAATAGAAAAAAACCGAGTCACGCATTCTTAAGTAAAATGCAATTTTAGGTTTTGGTCACTTAATGTATATTGAATCATATAATGAAAATGATGCTTTTCCTGCATAATGAACCAACAGAAGAATATTTCATTTATATTTATATTGAGCTTCAATTACTAAAAGTCTAGCAGTGAAACACTCATGGTATGTACATTAGATCAAACTTTTAGTTATTTACGTATTTATTTTTTGTTTCATTTAGTTTGCTTTAGATAAGAACGCAATGATGCCATCAAAGTGGCCGTGGAACACGTGGAATAAATAAACATGTATTGAGTGCCTATCACGTGTAAATTTTCATAGACTCGGATTACTTTGTTTCCTTTACAAGGAGGTCCCTTCTGAAAACGACTATCACTTTATGCTCCAAAGTACATTTGCGCATATACCCACACGGCCTCCCTCACTACGCATGGCAATCTTACTCCCCATGTTTGGTCACGTAAGTAATATTATGTTACTTTAGTGCAAACTTGTGGGGGTGCGGGGGATAGTACTTTTAACTGATATAAAGAAACACCAGAGAAAAAAAGCAATGCATTCTCAGTTTGGCTTCTTCTATAAAGGAACATGAAAGAGTACCCACAAACAAGGTAAATTCTTAAAAACACAGAATAACAAAAAGTTACAACGTATTTATGTTTTGTTAAATAAATGTGTCTACTTCTACCAAAGAAGATTATTACTAAAAGTATCTTTTAAAAATAAAAATTAAGTACAAAGGAAACTCTTCTGACATTGAAATCTCAGTGACAACGGTGGTCATTCCGTAAAATCTATGATTGTTTGCCATTTTATCACTAAACTTAATAAAGTAAATACTATATTTAACATCTTAAAATACTCACTAGGGCTGACTTTCTTTGGACCCTCAGAAAGAGCATGTATCTGAACAACTGGCATTAAATAGAGATATAACCTCATAATTTCATGCCCCATGTCTACAAGTCAACTCAATGTCACCTTTTTGTGTTCTACACATTTAGGCTGATTTAAATCAAATTACAGTGTAGGGTAACTTACGTAAACTGGAATTTCCTGAAGCATTATTTTTAGTCCCACTAAGTACTGCAAGTCTGCACTGTTTTTATTAGTTAATTACAATTGACAGGTCATGTAAGGCCTGAAAATCTGGTAACAGAAAGTGATGGGTGAAATACAGACGTATTTGTTCTGTGAACTTATACGGAACTAACTCTGTCAAACCCTGAATAGCTTCCTACTGACAATTAGAACTGCTTTTTAAAACAATGTACATTTCCAATGACATTCTTACAATAATTTTATATTTGTTTCTCAAATTAAGTTTGAGTACTGCCACACTGATGCTCCCCTGGGCATCAGTGAAATCCCCTGAATTTCAAGGTCCCCCAATAAATCTGAAACATTCAATGTTTGAACCAATTTCCCATGTACTAGTCTATATGGTACAGAAGCAAACCAAATTAGGCAAGTTTTGGAAATACGGTGACAAGACTGAACAAAACTAACTCGGTCTCTAAAGTTCATAAGAGAAATGTACAAGTTAATGTCTCTATGCAATAGGAAAACGTATCCATAATGATAATTTCTGAGCAAAAACTGTTAACTATTCTATAATATGTTCTATAACTTACCATATTTAATAAAACACTCAGATTTGAACTGTATTTTAGTGGGCAAGCCATGGCATTATTTGCATGACTCATTGGTAGCCAGGGAAAAAGATGTGCTCTGCACGTAACTTCCAGAAAACAAGACCACTTTCCAGGTCCATTAACTAAGTCACACTGGGCTCCTTTTTACCTGAATTCTTATTGGTTTTGTTCTGTCGACTTTTAACTTGTTCAGTCCAAAGCGTGGGGTATCGTGATGCAACATCTAATGAACCAAGATAAAATGATGATTATTTTAATTCATCACGAAAACACAAAGTCTCTCAATTAAAGACTTCAGCAGGCAGTCGAAAAGCCCCCAAAATCAATACAGTCAGTAAACACACATTGTAGAGATTTTTTAAAAATAATGATTACGTGCATGAAACAAAAGGGAATGACAACATACATTTTTAAAAACTTTAGCATATGCCTTTTTCTTTCTTTCTTCATCCAAAAGTATAAATAAAAGTGATACGAGTCCAGACAGGCTCCACTGTAAAAAACAGGTTTTGGCAAAAAGTCCCAAAGTATAGAAACATATCCTTGTGTGGTAAAGATGGATATTCATGTAACACACAGGGTCGTCACTCAGTTGAAAGATTCAATACAAAGTGCTGTATGTAAAGCGTAACTTTTGCCTACAACATTCTGGGAACAGATCTTTGGTAGTAATATTAACAAATGTAACTGAATATTTACGGTGCGATCAGTATACCACGTGCCCGAGAGCCACACTGAGGCCGACCGGCTGGTCACACGTGCCTTTGTCACCTATCAGCTTTGTGACATCAGACACGCTCTCATCTGTGATACAACGTTCTGAGGGCTCAGTGGGCTCAAGTAACAGAGTCCGTGGCATTTACTGCCAAGCAAAAGTTAGTTATCATGATTATCCTTGTTATTATTATTTTCAAAGCACGATGTCATCCTACCCTCTGATCTTTGATTTATTTATTATGTGCACTCCTTACACTTGGTCTTCAAACCTGACCCCCCTTTCGACCTGAGAATTGGTGATACAGTGGCAAATACCTACAACAATGTATTAAAGGCTAAGAGTAGGCAATCCATCCTTCTCGTAACCACAAAATTCAGTAAGCCTCTGAAACACCTCTATACATTTGACTTCACAAAACTGGTCTTTGTAAGGGTGGTGATCACATGACATGAAGAGTGAGCGGGGGAAATGGCATATGCTAGCGCACCCTTTGGAAATATATATTTCATGTTATCCAGATAAAATCTCAACTCAGAGACTTGTACTTAAAGAGAGGCCTCTGCGTGTGCTGTGTGAAAGCACCGCAGCAACACTCAGGGGCCCTAAGGAGGGACGGAGGGGCCTCATAAAGGTGGAAAAGGCCAACCCAGCCCGTCCTGAGCGCAGTCCTCGCAAGAGGACGTGGCTGCACCCTCAGGCCCGCGCCCTACCCCCAACACAACTCCCCACCGACACTCACCTTCCTCATCTCCTTGAGGCTGAGTCTCCAACGCTGGAGCTGAGGCATCATCTGAATTCAGAACGGAAAAGATTTGCAAGGAGACTACAATTATGAGAGTAAGTGAAGTAAGTGTGCATACAGGATGGACCCTAAGGATTGCATACACCCCCACGATCCACCAAACCACAACCCAGCACTCAGTAAACCATACAGAGGCTCAAAGCTCCAAACAGACCCCACGGGGAAGGGTTAGGTGTGATGTAAAGCATCAGAGCCAACCGGACGGATGAGGGAGGGTCCGCAGGAATGGGGGGGGCTGGGGGGCTGGCATCCCTGCTGTGCCCCTGTTTTCCAGAGTGGAAGGCAGGGATGGAGACCCAGGCCCTGGACTGTGCCCCGTGGGTCTCTGGACCCCTCAGGCCTCCTGTGTCGACACGTGAGAGGCTGGTGGGGAACCCGGTGAGAGTGTCAGAGGACAGAGGGACGAGTGTGGATTAGAAAGCTCTACGCCATTTCACTGAAAACATTATTCCAAGGACACAGTCTTTATTGAATTAGTTGAAAAACACTCGTTGGGCTCCCTGGTAAGCAAGCCTCTAGAAGCCCCCCAGGCAAGGGGGCCCCAGCCAGGGACCCTGTTACAAGGCACACTGCGGGGGGCTCTCGAGAACCAGCCTAGTGTTTTTATTCGTGTGATTTTTTTTTTTTAACAATTTCAGGATCAAAATACAGCAAGCAGTGGTAGAGGGAAGGGGCAGCCACATGGCTTATGTAGTTAACTGTGACCCATTACTATCCCAGCTCTCTGAAGAATAAAAATGAAGTTCTTTTCAGTGGAAAACGAAAAAGAATATTTTTAAAATTCTTTAACATTTAACCATCTCCAGAAAAAAAGCTTGTTATCTGTCAAAATACTGACAAAATGTAGCATCATTTATCTGAAATAGCCAAGTCAAATAATGATAGTAGCAATAAACTAGAAGTATTTCGTTATTGAATATTCTATAATCTTCTTCCAAGAATGAAATGGGGAACATACTGAAAACATATTTGAAAGTCTTAACAGAACATACTGAGAAAAGTCTTAGCATATTTAAACACGCTTTGGAATAACAACCAGAAAGTACACAGTTAATGTTGCACGTTTTTGCTGAGGCCTAAGCGGGCCACCACGCTGGCGCCAGCAGCCCCCGTCTGATCCCTGCGTCCAGGCCAGTCTGAGTTCTCAGCCGAGCTAACCAGGGCGAGAGGTGACGGGGGGGCGGGGGGCGTCCCTGAGGGACAATGAAGGGTGCCGGCCCCCACTCCTGCCCCTCCCCCGCCCCTAATGCCAGCACCAGGGGCCCCTACGTTCCTGCCTTGGCCACAGGCCCCTGGGCAGCGTGATCCTCCTAACCCACTACCAGGCTCCGGCCCCTGGAGAGTCTGTCCCGGTGCAACTAGCCCACTGGCACCTACTGGGCTCAGCCTTAGAAAATGAAGCAAAGCCACGGGCAGCTTGGTGCCTTTCACTTTCCCTCCAGGGGAGTTTGTTAAATGTCTCTTTTTCCCGGTCACCCAGCTTCGTTACTTATTCTCAGGTATTTCCTCTGACAGGCACGTCTGGAGATCAAGGGGCTTCAGTACAAGGAATGTGTTCTTCCCTTAAATCCACTTCTGAGCCCACGTGCCAATTCCCTGGGGATTTTTAAAAATTTTTTACCGTGGATTCGACCTGTATCACCATGAACAGGATTGGGTGGGGGCGCCTGAAAGAGTGTTTCCCTCCGTCTCCCTTTCAGCCTTTGACTCCTGTTTCTCACCACGAACATGTATACTTCCTCTCCTCTAAAACGTACCAGAATGCTCACCCCATCTGCATCTCCCCCTTCCCAAACGGAAACCCTCGCCCGAGCCAGGGTCCTGACCCCACCTGCCGGTCCCTCTCTCGCCTACAAACTGGGCTCTTCTCCCCACCTGTGAGGGTCTCTGCCCAGGTCACACCTGTCCCAGCTTTCACACCCACCGTGCTCCACTCACCTCTTCCTCTGAAACCGCTCCAATTCCGCCCTCGTCTGCGCCCGCCCTGCATGCTGTCTACACAGCTGGCATTACTCGTGTGCCAATCTGTGTGGATCTCATGGATTTATCTTAATGATACAAAGACTCTACGATCTTTCCAGGACAAGGACAGTGGCCACCGTGACTTCAATACACACTTGAAAGCCCTGGGTTGAATAAAACTGGGGTCTTTTGACTCCATATCACTTTTCTCTATTACTGGTTCATATACTATAACCTACCTCAGGGAAAAATAAGTGCTTAAGATGTTGGTACATTATTTTTATTTCATCTTAAAAATAAATTCTGACTTCACGGGTTGATATAAAGACAGACCAACGGGTGACAGCTGAGGAAAGGGTAAAGGGGTCACGGTGGGCTTGCGGCGGCCAGCGGAGATGCTCCAGGAGCTGTGGGATGATTTCCAAAGGAAATGCTCCCTGCTCCGTCAGGTTCCCAGCATTTCCAAAGGAAATGCTCCCTGCTCCGTCAGGTTCCAAAGGAAATGCTCCCTGCTCCGTCAGGTTCCCAGCATTTCCAAAGGAAATGCTCCCTGCTCCGTCAGGTTCCTTCTGGGTGCTGGTCCTAGAAGGAGTGACTGTCATAGATGGAAACAGCCCCCCCTTTCTGATGAGGAGAGCTCCATTAGTGACCTCTGACAACTGCTATGCTAGAGGCTCGTGCCAGCCCTGGAGTCCCCTGCACAGATATGGATCCGGGATGAGCCTAACACCGTCCACAGGCGGTCCCAACACAAGCCACGTCTAAGAAGCCCTGACGCGGACACGGGTGGGTTACCCAGCAGGTCACGTGCCCGGCACCTGCCTGGTCCCAACAACCCTAAGGGTCGAATAAACGTTTGCTGAATGAATAAATAATTAACAAAGGGCTTCAGCTCTCATTACCATCACTGATATACGTTGACATTTTAACTTGAGAAGTTATTTTAAGGCATAGATTGGATTCGCTGTCGTCATATATCAAGGAAGTTCATTTTCAGATAGTTACCTGTCTTTCCTGTGCCTTCCCGTTGGGGTAACTTTTCATTTATGGAACCTAAAAGAGGAAAATAAGGGATAAAATTATTCTTGGCTTTCAAATGGTCATCACTAATTGTTACACAAACATTTTATTCCATTTTGATTAATTCACAGGGCTTTGTCACTTTCTAGTTAAATTACACAAGCTACCTAGTGCCCTGTCATCTGAAATCACAAGCCCAAAACTAGGAAATGTAAGATTAGCTCCCATTTCTCTGGCCGCCTGGCATGTGACGTACATAAGAGCCTCTAGGGTACAAAATATAGCGGTTTCTTCGCATGAAAAATATGATACTAACCTTTTAAACGTACATCACTATGTGGGGATAGTTGAGTGAATTAGATTTTTTTAAACTTTTAAAATTTTTAAAACTTTTTAAAAAGTAATAAAAAGTTATTCAACTGCAGATAAATAAAAATCCTGGTTTCAGCTGAATTCTGATTTATGGAAAACTGAGGAACCATCTTTTTGTAAGGGGAGTACAGCAAATACGCTAAGGTTATCTAATTTTTAATAAAATTTTAACCATTATATTACCCTGAAAGGTTTATATTACAAATAGGAGGCATTGCTCTGCCTTCCCCATAGACTGAAACTGTTATGGCACCAACATTTTCCTCACCGTTATTACACCTACTCAAAGGAATAAACAAATTCTGTTCAGCATTAATTTGGAGTTTATCTGCCCATCCAGTTCAGAATATTCCATCCAGGATTCATTTAGTATTCCCCTAGTCATATGCTGGCAAGACTCCGCAGCTAAAACATCTCATGAAATAAAACTTGAAATTCATTGCTCGTTTTTTCAATTTCGAATATCACATTGAAATACAGACTTGTATTTATACTAAAGATATAAACTTTAGGACAGTTTGAGAATGTTTATCTTGTCTTGGAAATATCATGGTTCTATAGCAGGAAACGTACGAGCAGATCGTTGTAGACTCAATCCTGAAGGACGGGGCAGACAGTGTAAGTCAGGGATGCTGTGCATCCTCTCCAAATGTTGACAGAAATGACGTTGAGGGCGTGGGTTCCCCTACACTCAGCCCAGGGGTTACAGGAAGGAGCAAGATACAACAGTAAACACTAGGTGGCCCGAGTGCGGTTCTGCAGGAGACACAGCCTGTCCTCCCCCCCAGCTGCTTGTCTGAAATACTTGAATCATAGGCACCTGGAAATGCAGTTCGGTCAATAGATAAAAAGGACCAGATTTTCCTGGTGCATCTATTTGCACAATATTTGAGGTGCTCCCCAAAGCAGCTATTGGTCATTTCCCAGCTGTGGCCGGTACCATGCAGTGAAATGTTACATGCTTTCCAGCGTCAAAACACAGGGTTTTACTTCTGGTGAGAATTCCCAGGGATATAAAGTGAGCTCGTTGTGTGGCCTTCTGACAAAGCTTTCAGGATCCTACTTTGCTCACTTCTCCCTTTGTAGCATCTCTTTACAAATCCAGATTTCTTAAAGGGCTTAAGTTTCTTAGTCATCGGTTTATTTATTTATTTATTTTGTGTTACGCGGGCCTCTCACTGTTGTGGCCTCTCCCATTGCGGAGCACAGGCTCCGCGGCCATGGCTCACGGGCCCAGCCGCTCCGCGGCATGTGGGATCTTCCCGGACCGGGGCGCAAACCCGTGTCCCCTGCATCGGCAGGCGGACTCTCAACCACTGCGCCACCAGGGAAGCCCTAAC